TGAGAAACTGTGTTTCGCCTAAGATCTCTTGTTCACCAGTGGATAATGCAACTACGGTAAGAACCCCAAGGATTCGGCACATACATTTAATTACACAAGCTTGCAAAGTTAGGAGGGTGCTAAATCCAATTTTGTCTAGCTGTCCAGCAAGACTGCAGTGTGGCTATCATGAGTCTTTAACAGCTGTTTCTAGTTACTGGAGAGCTGGAAGAGATAATTGGTGTATGTTTGATATGGTCTGCAAAGCCCCACAATAACTTCTTAGCCTGTATATTTGCAAATAAATAGATGACTGTAAAGATGCCAAAGATCTCTCAGCCTCTCTCCTACCATTGAGTTTGTGGTTAAGACACTGAAATACAAACCGAGGTAGTTCAGTTCTGGATGAAATGTGGGAAGCTGCCATAACATCAAGTCATTCTATCTGTCAATTGAGTCTGATGCAATTTACTCTTAAATAGCAGCAGCTCTCCATGACCCTCAAGTAGAATTCTTTGTACTCATAATCTCCTATATGACCCTTTTTCTCTAGAGCTGCCAAGGATAAAACCTGGGACTGTCTACAAGTAAAGTGGTGCCTCGCTTAACGAGCGCACCGTACAACGACGAATCTGCATAGCGATCCCCTTTTCGGGATCGCTAATGCGGAGGCACACCGATCATTCCAATGGGCAAAACTCGCATAGCGATGATCAGTAAGCGTTTCGCTTACTGATCTTCGCTTTGCGATGCCCGCGGATCAGCTGTTCGGCGGTTCTGAAATGGCCGCCAGACGCCCGAAATGGCCGCACACAGCGTTTTCGCACCCTCCCCTCACTTACCGAGGGCGCAAAAATGGCTGCCGCTATGGAAGAAACTTCGCTGAACGGTAAGTTTAAGGCCCATTGGAATGCATTAAACGATGTTTAATGCGTTCCAATGGGTTTTTATGTTCCGTTTAGCGATGTTTTCACCTAGCTAGGGTTAATCCGGAACGGATTAACCTCGCTATGCAAGGCACCACTGATATATGCTTCAGCTATGGCCTTCCCCCACACACACACATACACTGCACTTCTGGTTTGAAGTTACTGTGAATAACCTATTATGTCTCAGCTCTACATGTAAAGCCCTACACAAAATCCCAAGCTGGCTTTCTTCTGTCTATTACAGAAGGGGGGTTAACAATAGGTCTGAGAGTTAGTGTCGTGTAGTAAAAACAGAGTGGTGAGCTCACAGTCAGGACATCTGGGTTCAAATCTCTCCTCAGCCATGGAACTCACTAGAGCTGGTGGTGGCAAGGGTAGACCACCCTGCAAACATCTCGTGTACCTTGAAAACTCTATTGGGGTTAGCATAAGTTGAAGGCAACTTCATAACAATGCCAACAAATAATAACTTATGTTTCAATATCACTGTCAGAATTACTGAAATCTTGTGTGTTTTGAGCATTCAGAAAAAAAAATGCTATGCAAGTAGTATTGAAAATGTCATGCTGGAAATGATAGCCTGAACCGTCTACCACAAAGGAAAGGAAAACCATGGAACAGTATTTTAAGCTTGCAAACTTAGGAGACAGAGCTGTAATGGAAAGATTGAACAATTAGTGCCTCTGCAATAATCCAAAGGAATGCTAACAGAGAGACCAATAAGAAAGATTTTTTGTGATCTTAAAACATACCGTGTTTTACATCTAACTCAGAAGAGCAAATGGCAAATTCTCTAAGTGGCAATCCAGAATGGAGACACCACTTCCTCAAAGGAGACCCATGGCTCACATCCATATGTTTGTCATGCTGTTCCCTTTGCAACAGAGATGGGAAATCTTGCTCTGTTTTCCCATTCTATTTCTGTGGTGGCAAATACTAGCGCTGCATGTATATACTGTATATGTAAAACTGTCACTCTTAGGAGTACCACCTCAAATCCCCCAGAATATTTTAGCATCATGGATGCTCAGTGAGCACTAAATTGGCTTCCAATGCAATCCTATGCATATCTACAATAGACACACATTTATAGTAAATTCTACTGACAAAAATGCAGTATTTTCCTAGAAACAGAATTGCAGCAATTGTTGTGTACACCATTCACCATTCAAAACAGACTGGCTTGCTATTGCATGAAGTGCTATGGTGCACATTCCTCATGTAAAGGACAGAAAACGTGTTATTGGCCACAACTATGGTTCATCACTCCTCCTCATTCATAGCACATACTGATAATTCTCATTTACTACAGAATCTCCTTCCTTCCTTCCTTCCTTCCTTCCAATTCAGAGTAACCATTCAAAAACTTTAGCTTTATTTAGAACATATACCCATATTGGCAATACATAATTCTTGCACTGAGAAGCAAAAATCACAGATATTTGCAGAATCCCTAATCTGTACACATCTCCTTCTCTTTTGTTCCACAGCTGCTGTCATTGACAAACTAAAACAATAGTTCCAGCAATCACATCTACCATATTGTGGACTCTGCAAATGAATGAAGACACCAGCTTTAAACACAGCCTCATTTCTTTGCTGAAGTCTCTTGAAAAAGCAAGTGTTATTGTTATTCTAAATCTGCAACTCAGACATTCAGTGTTTCATTCCGCACCCAAACCTGCTTATAGGTATTATAAAATACTCCAGTTAAGTTTCATTGATCCTCTCCCTCTTTTTTTTTAATTAGACTAAAGTAGTTTCTCCTTGCCTCCAAAGAACCACCACTGCAACACTATGCTCTGGGGAAAAAAAGAGAAAGAACTACCATTTTAAATGTAGAAATCTCAGGCCTTATATATTCACATTTGCTCACTCAAATCTTGTACCCTTAATCACCCTGTCAGCTATCCTTGAATCAATCAGCCCCATCTATCTCTTCTTCCACTGATAATCTGCCTCATTTGAAATCTATATTCAAATGAGTATCAATGAATTCTGACTCTCCCATTATCCTGCAATTGCACTTGATAAAAAAAAACAAACCTTACCTAGATCTTGGCCCCTCTTGTAATTTTTTTGCAATTTCTCCTTCTTGCAATCACAATGGCCACAACAGTACATGCACCAACTGCAATGAATTATAATAATATTTATGCCAGTCACTCCCATCGACATAGTGGAGGGGAAGTTCTGAGGATAGCAACCTGCTTGGTGCATCCAGACTTCCTAAGTGGAAGCAGAGGAATGTAGGAAGGAGGCTGATGTTAAGTCAGATCATTGACCGATTTAACCTAATATTTATCCGTTCTAACTGGCAGCTGCTTCCCACAGTTTAGGCAGAAATGATTTTGTTGCCCTACTTGAATGTCCATGCTTCTGGCTGGTGGCCTCCTCTCCAAGAACTAATGAGACCTGACCCTGATCGGCTTCCAAAATCAGATGAGAGCAGGTGTATTCAGGTGTAGTTGGTAATTGGGACAATGTGTGATCAGAGGTCTACCTTGTGCACGGGCAGAAGAGGCTCCTCGCTTCCGACAATGCTTTCTCCTATGTTGCAGTGAGGCCAGGAGGAGGCTGAAGTGGTAACGGTGAGGCCGGCCAAGCAGGACCTTGCTGTCCTCCTCAGGTAATGTTGCTCAACATAAAAGCACAGTTTTTAAAAATTACCTTTTGAATGACTCCTCTGGGAATCCTCCAGACAGCATGACAAGTTAAGATTGGTCCGGAGATCTTAGCTCATTTTTCTCTCATTGGAGTGCATTTCTGGCAGCTGCCACTGAGCATCTAGCACATCCTATTCCCCAGTTATTCTGACATTTATTCAATCTTGGTTAGGGTCCGACCACTCATTACAGGCAAACAGATGTCAATTACAACCCAGTCGAGTAGGAAGTGACTTTCAGTGAATAACTAGGGAAAGGATGTGCTTAATCATTTCCCAGCCCACCCTTTCCCACGGCAATTCTACCTCTCCATTCCACAACAGCAGGCTCTCCTTTGAAGGAGCCCATCCGTGCACTTGGAACAATAAGCATGCCTCTCAGACCGCCTGCCAAGGAGAAAGCAGCTTGGAGAGAGGTGTGCAATAAAGTGATGGACGTGGAAAAGCACCAGCCTCCTTCTCTGCTTCTGGTGGTTTTTTTCTTTGTTTTTGCTTCACCCTACCCTAGTCCATTTAATATGTTCCATACATAGGCTGGCCTTTAGCGACTGTAGCAAAGACTGGGAGGCTGGAGGCTGAGAGGCATTCACAAGCCCAATTTTATAACCCACCCTCTTCCCTTCCTGGACCGTTCACACAACAGCTGCCATCATTCTGTCCAAGCAGATGCTAGTTTCCCTCAGCCCCAATCCATAAGGTCAAGAGAGAAAAAGTGGCTGAAGTAAGCACAGTCAGATGACCTGTGGACAGAGCTGGGAATCAAGGTTTGCACTGGCAAGTCAGAAGAGCAGAGCTGCCTTAGCCCCTCAGACAACTATTACCCTTGTAAGGTCATCTCCTCCTCTGGTCTTCCCAATATCCACAGGTGGGGAAATGTTGCCCTGTGTGATTCCTGTATCAGGCTTAATGACTTGTGACTGAACTGGGGCATCTCACTCAGCAAAGCAACTCAACAGGATCATAACAGGCCATGCAATGGAGGATACAAAGTGGGTCTCGTTTCTCAGGAGGCGGATAAGAAACACAACGGAGGCGGCGCTTGGAGCAGGATTTGGGTCATGCTTTCTTACTGCACTTTGCAGTGTCACCACCTCTGTATTTCTGCAGGATTTCTTTTATTTCTCTATTGTGCCTTTATTCCTGTCCATTAAAATGCAACCAAACAGTATTCCATATTCAGCTTAACATCTTCGTGGAACATCAATAACTCCTTGCAACATTACAACTCCCTTTCACAAAAGCCCCTGTGTTTCTTTACAAAGCACTACACCTTGACCTTGAACTGCAAGCCACAGCAGCAACTTCTTTGACCCACAGTGTCCAGAACCACAGCACCCAAGGGCACCTTCCTGCTCCATTTTGACTCATTTTCCATACAAGCAGCACTATGAATACTTGTCTGAGTACCAAAGATGTGCAGTGCTTACCTGGGTTGCTTTTGGAGGTGCGCACTGGTGTGTAGTGGTTTTTAGAGGATGTACGGATTGGTGTGTTGTCTTTGGGGGAGGTATCTATAGCCGAGATAGTTTCTCTTTCACAGTGTGCTATGGGGATTGGTCCCTGCTGTCGGAGGATATCGGCCAGAGCCCTGGAAGAAAACATAGGAGATTGTGCAAGGTTCTCACAAAGTAACATATAAAGATAAGTAATTTGTTTCTGTATGATACAATATTTTGGCTTAAAAGGAGGGGGGATTAAAAAAGAGGAGCTTTTTCCTTCTGCATGGATAGTAAAGCAATGAAAACAAGATGGAAGAAAACAAGACATAGGAGAAGCTGGTTGGTGTCGAAGTTTGTAGCAGGACTCTTTTCACCTGACAGTTGTCTATTTCTTCAAAACAATGTCAATGTTTGGGACATGTAGACAAGTGCAGAATAGTGTAGCATTCACCTGGGGTCAAATTAGACCTTAAAGAAAATAAATACAGTGGTGCCTCGCTTAGCGATGTTAATTCGTTCCAAAAAATCGCTGCTAAGCGATTTCATCGCTAAGCGAAACACGGTTTCCCATTGAAATGCATTGAAAATCGGATAATCTGTTCCAATAGGAATGAATTGCCGTCCTTAAGTGAAAATCGCCATAGGAAACATCGCTAAGCGAAACACGGTTCCCCAATTGAAATGCATTAAAACCTATTCAATGCATCTCAATGGGGAAAAAAATACAACAAATTAAAAAAGAATCAGAACAAAGTCAAATTTGGTTAACACTTTATGATTTCAAACATTTTAGACAGTAAACTTTAACTTTATAAATAACAGAAAAACATTTAAAAAACAGCAAACATGAGGCTGTTTAAACCATCGTTAAGCGAAACAGGGGACCCAAAATTTAATCATTATGCGAAGCATGGTCTCAATCATTGGTAAGCGAAAATCACCCATAGGGACCATTGCTAAACAAAGCGCTAAACGCTCTGAAAAATTCATCGCTAAGCAATTTCATCGCTAAACGGAGCACCCGTTAAGCGAGGCACCACTGTACATTCATTTTTCTTCCCATAATATAGCTTTCCTCAGTAATAATTATCAGATTTATAAATGTTGCTTGTATTTACTTTCTCTTTCACTATTTAACAATGCACTGCTTCTAATGACATGCTAAATGTACCAGCTAGCCAGATATGAATATGGCTCATGATAACTATATTGCCTCAATGTCACACCTACACTTGCTTGGTATGCCACTCTGAAAAAAAACATACAGTATATGATCACAGGACAATATGCTATTGTATAGTATTTTATGCACCTCTGCTTTCCACCTGGAACCAATTTTCATAGCTTCTTACACAAGAAAATAAAGGCTTGCGGCTCATTAAAAAGCACATGCTTTTGATACAAATGCCAGGATGAATCCCTGGCATTTCCAATTAGGGCTGAGAAGGACCCCATCCAAAATCTGGGAGAGGTGTTGCCAGTCAGTCTAGGCAATACCGAGCGAGATGGAATCAATAGCCTGATTCAGGATAAGACAGCTTCCAAACACAGTGTCAGTTATGTGCAAACCTCGGTGCATGTCCTTTCCAGCTGTTTTCTCCAACAGCTGGAATAAAGTATTGGAAGGTGCTATGGATGAGACAAGAGTACACACTTCTTCCAAAGCTTGTACTTTTCCATAAGAAGTTTTGAAGAAGAAAGAGAAAGCTTCCTCCATCTTATCCATTATGGACTTGAACAAAGACAAGCAAGGTATTACCTAGGTTTTCTCACTGTGAAGACTACCTCGGTATTATACACAACAGTGCTAGAAAACATCAAGAGACACTTCCCACAGTAAGCTCTTTTTCTGGATGTTATTTCAACAGTGATCATTCTAAAACACCACCAAATAAGAATGAAAGGAAGCACATGGGTTGCTTTCTCAGTATGGCCAAGAGCTATAAAGCTTCTCTGAAGACACACAAGAGAGGGTTAAAGTATCTGGTTTGTGAGGGACAGGAGAAGTTTTAACACTGATAAAAAGTGATGGGCTCTGTTCTCTTAAGTGGAGAAACAGGCCTAAAGCTAACTTTTTCCCAATGCAAGTCTGCAAACAGTTGCATTCTCCCTTCATGTGTGATTCTTGTTGTATATAGGTTTTATGAAATATAGTTTATCTAAATAAAGCATTTCACTCCCAGGGAAGTTCCAGAATGTAAATCATTCTCTTCCTCCAGCACTAGCTAAATGCACAAAGAAGCTGGAAGTGTCAGCAGTCCCCTTAATGTTTGCAGAAAGCTGCATTCACTAGAAAGAGCTTTGTGTCTTAGAAGAAAGATGGGCTTATTATCTCCATTTTACCCTATATTATTCTAGATAATATATTTGCAATATAGTGCTGCCCATAGATGGACAAAAGTGAATTGAAAGCATATGTACCTACTGTAGATGCAAACCCTCCACCATAATAACCTGTGCCATTTCACATTCAGCTTCATGGCATAATGAGCAGAAACTTGTTTTTTAAAAAAGAAAAAAAAAGAAAAGATCAAATAATCAAGGCACAGTGTTTTTATGCCAGGTATCAATTTTATATCTGGACATTAGTAGCACATAGAAATCCCAACAATGAAGGGTTTAGGTGGGTCTTACCACGAAACTTTGAGGTGAGCTGATCCACACACACCTGTCTGCTGCTGTCATGAGCCAGATGGAGCGTGTCGATCGCTAGCATGATCTCAAAAGTACCATATATTTAAAGACCTGGTTGTGTCTCCCTAATCCTAAACTGCTGACATCTAATTAAATTGGGGAAACATAAAAGTCACTTCAGTTGGGTTTCATTATGTTGAGGTCAGGCTGATAACACAAGGTTATATTATAAGTAGATATGGGCTATTCATATTCATATCCTTGGGGATACGAATACAGTCGTGCCCTGCTGGATGATTACCCCGCTCTACGATGAATCCACTTAAAGTTGAAGTTTTTGTGATCGCTTTTGCGATCGCAAAACAATGGTTTAAATGGTTTTTTGCTTGTTTGTTTGTTTCACAATGATCGGTCCCCTGCTTCGGGAACTGATTTTCGCTTTACGACAATCAGCAAACAGCTGATTGTCGGGTTTCAAAATGGCCGCCGGCTGAAGAAAATGGCCCCCCACTGTTTTTAGGACTGATTTTTCGCTTAACAGGCACCAGAAAATGGCCACCGTATGGAGGCTCTTCACTGGACGAGCAGGTATTCAGCCCATTGGAACGCATTGAATGGTTTTCAATGTGTTTCAGTGGGTTTTTTTATTTCGTTTGACGACGTTTTCACTCTACAGCGATTTCACTGGAACGAATTAACGTCATCAAGCGAGGCACCACTGTAAAAATATTGGTACCACAGGTGTCGTGGAGATCCAACCCCTCCCCCTGAACCAGCCAGTGCACTCATTGGTTGGGGCACGGCACATGCACGGAAGCAGCCCAGCCAGTGCTTCCCCGCTTCACAACAAGATAATAGATTGCCATATATCATATTTGCAAAAAACAGAACATTGTGTAAATGATGACCTGTTTACTATGAATTAGAGGGATCCAATCTGAAGAGTGATATAAGGGATTAGTACCATATGCAGAGTGAACTCAGATGTGCTGTAGTTTCCAAAGAGCAGACGTTATAATTTATTAGCCCTTGTTTGCAAAATAGTCTCGGGGATATCATCTCAGTGAAGAGACATTCCAATACACACAAAAAGCTCTGTTTCCCAGATATTAACTCACACTGAGTGCTTTCTCTGAATATTCTGGGCTGTTAATGCTGTTCTGTCAGAATTCTAGAAGCTCCCTACAAATGCCGTATTTGAAGTAAAATCTTTGTGACAGCCATGTCATTAGACAGCCATCTCTCTACAGTTTGGGATATTACTTTTTAAAAGTAACTTGTAGCTCCTAACATGTTACATTTTAAAAAAGGTAACTCATTCTTGATGTTTCTTATTAACACTGTAATTCATTATTCACTGAAATCCTGTTGTTTAGAGTGTAGCAAATTGCACTAGAGTAGGCCCATTAAATCAATGCAGATCTGATGATTCCACATCTCTACAAGATTCAAACAGGTCTACTTTAGCTGTGACCCATATGAATGAATGGAATATATGAAGGAGTTAACACACCAAATCCTGGCTAATTCATTGGGGCTACTCTAGTGCAATTTATTATTTATTTATTTATTTTATTTCTTTGTTCAATTTATATCCCGCCCATCTGGTATATTCTACCACTTTATAGCTGAACGAGAAGACTCCTTGTCCCACTTCCTTGTCAGAGTAGTCAGCTACACCAAGAAGCAGGGAAGTACTGGCCAGGCTGATTTCGCAATTGGCATGATGATGTGGATGACCTCTATGCAGCAACCGGTGAGTGAACCAGCCAGTTTGGGGGGAAATGGCTGGATCTCCACGGCACCTGATATTCATATTTGTGTTCCTGGAAATATGAATACAAATAGGCCATCTCTAATTATAAGATGCACGATCCGTAGGCCATAGCACAGAATTGACAGAGGCCTACAGTCAAATACTCCCTATAACTGAGCAGATCACAAATGAACAAACACTTCACTCGCAAAGCAAGCAGCGCCCATTATCCAGATAATATGGGGTTTAAGCATTAGTATAGGAAGGAGTGAGTAGGAACAGAGGGTTTTTTCTTGGGCAACCATAGAACCGGTACTAGAAACATTTGTGGGGTGGGGGAGACTGCCCCAACTATAGAAGTTGGAAAGTTTTGAAAAAAACAACTGAAATCAATGTTGCAGAACCTGGAAGCAAATTGAAAGTCACACCCTGCACCTGCACCATGCTGAGCTGCATCATGTATTTATTTATAAGTACACATATTTTGTAGGATACACTTTCCAGAAGTAGAAAGGTTTAATTAGAAATATCCCCGCGAGATGTGAGAATCAGAGGGCTAAACTGTGCATGATGTGACGCTGTGTGTCTCTTTCTCCCCGTGGTCTGCTCTTTAATGAAAAGTAGCCTTGGGCAGATGAGAGTTTCAGCAGAAGACAGGAAAGGTGCTCTTTAGCCTTTCACCTCTCTTCCTTTTCTCCATTCAGACATATCCTCAAACTGCTTTCTATGGTATGAAGGACAAATGTGTGCTATGTCTGG